CCAGTACAGTGGCGTGAAAAACCCAGGGCAGACCCAGAACATAAATAAAATCCCGTATGTAGAACTTGGGTAAGCCAAAGCCGGCGGAAAAAGGGTTCAACAAAAAGGGGGGTTCCCGGGGGGGGGGGGGGGGGGGCACACAAGGGATTGCGAGGTCGGCATAAGCCTGCTGGGGAAACGCCGGTTGAACGCATCACAGAAACGTCGGAGCGACCGGAACACTGAGACCTCGCTATGCTACTCCGTGCGTTGTTGCTACATGTTCTTGCCAAATTACTACGTATATTTCATTCGATTGGATGCCCGGAAACGTTTAACACTACCGCAGCGGTTTGCCCCCGAAGGCCAAGGGCAACAGGCCGAAATATCGTCCCAGAGCAAAGCGTAGCTACTTGCGCTTCGGCCAAAAGAACCGATCAGCAGCACATAGGGTGCTCCGCCATTCAAGCGTGTTCATGTATGACGGGCGGCAGCATCTCACGGGTTAATACTGTCGCCACCAACGTTCAAGCCGTGACTCAAGGGATGCACATCCCGGTTAGTGCACCATTCCGCATGCTCTTCTCAACCAAGGAGATTGATCCAAGTTCAAGCAACATATGCATACCTCCAAAGGCGACACCACGGAACATACCGCCATCACCGGGTTCCCGAATTCCAGAAACGGGTCGCGTCACGACCACCACGGGTCAGCACGCAACTCGCAACTTTCGATCAAATCCCTTTTTCCCCTGAGAGAGCACCGACATTTCGACAAAAAAAAAAAATCCCTCCCCTGAGAACCGGCCCCGTGAAAGCACGACTGTACGTACCGTCATGACCAGAGTCCCCGGGGACTTGACGAGCTCGTCCCCGCACCTGGCGGCCATGGACAGCGAGTCCTTCCCGCCGTCGATGCCGACGCCGCAGTCTAGCAGCGCCTGTCAGGCAAACAAACACACACACACACACACGAACAGACTCTTGGCGTATTCATTGGTCAGTCGGTGAGTGCGGTCGATGCTAATAAACACACACACATGCACAGACACAGACGGGGGAGAGTTTGAACCGGTTGTGTCGTCTGCCAGATCAACATCTCGTTCCACTAGTGAATTTTCCATTCACTTCATGAAGGTAGACCATGCGGGAGGTAAAGGGTATGTACTCTCATGGTGCACCCTATCCTGTGTGGTGTGTGACCAACAACACCGCTGGTGCAAAAAGTCCCATCTCACCAATTGTTTTCTCTCTCGTGAGGGTACATACAATGAGGAGAGCAGCCAAGGGCTGCGGCGCGACATCTTCAAAGCTTCGCGAACAACCGACTCTCCCGATGAGAGCTCACAAACGGGCGGGGGGGGGGGGGCTGCTCCACGTCTTGAAACGTTACAATGGGACCGACTGGTCCTTATCATTCACCTGGCTGTTCCGCATCGTGAAACGTTACAAATGGGACCGACTTGTCCTTATGGCTCACTTGGCTGTTCCGCATCGTGAAACGATACAAATGGGGCTGACTGGTCCTTATCGCGTACCTGGCTGCCCTGTACCTTAAAACGTTACAAATGGGACCGACTGGTCCCGGCTGTTCCGCATCGTTAAACGTTACAATGGGACTGACGGTCCTTATCGCTCACCTGGCGGAGTGCCACGCACGCCTTCCACATCCTGGCGCACTCTCCGGGTAGCTTGGCGGCCCACATCCAGTTGCCGCTGGCCTTGATGTCTTCCAGGGAGGTGAGCTATCGCCGCCGCCGCGGGGGAAGAAGACGAACGAAAGACAAGGCATCGCACGACGAGGTTACGAGGACGCTCGCTCCTGTGCAGCACCGACGCCCTAGAAAATGACACTTGTGGAATATGGTACACTACGCTACACCGAGAGAGACTTGACGGGGCTGCCTGCCACCGGGATGTAGCGCAAAGAAAACCACAAAACACGAGTGCTGCTGCTAGCAGAAGCTGGACAACGACCTCTGCACGGCATCGAACACGCCCTGCGAAACCAGCCCTCACTTCATACATACATTACGTCAGCGAAAAACAAACACAAGCAAGCCAACAAACGACGACAGGACAAGCCTCGCGCTAATAGCAAAACTGTAGCCAGCAAATAACGGCAAGCAAGCAATGTGGAGACAACAACAATAACAACAACAACAACAACAACAACAACAACAACAACAACAACAAGCACGCAATACGAAGCGCGCAAAAAAACTCGCATTGGCCCACAACAAACTACGGCACAGCCTGCAGACAACGAAAAGCACAGCCTGCCGATAACGAAAGGCACATCATGCATCAAGTATCGACCACGGAACGACCAACTTAGGGTTGGCAACCACAACAAATATGCCCGAAACCAGCAAAACGAAGCGCATAAAAAAACTCGCCTTGGCCCACATGATGTTGGTGAGAGACTCCGCCACAGTGAGCCTGGCCATGGCTGCGGGGTCAAGCAGCCCCTTCATCGGCTGCTCCCCGCACGACGTGGCGATGCCGGTGGTCGCGAGGTGGCTAGAGGCCACCACCCCGCAGTCGGCGAGCGGGGTCTGCAGGGGGCCGACGCACTGCTGCTGGGCGACGAGCCCGGTCACCGATCGGTCCACCTGCCCGATGTATGCGTGGGGCGGGACGCGCTTAGCGTGATCATGACATCGCTTGATACTCGGTATCGGATGGCTTAATGCTCAGCTTATCGATCGAACCAGTTTTTCCGAATGATACTATGTTCAAGAGTCAAACGAACCAATGTTGCGGAGGGCTCAGTCCGCCCGCCCTACGTACTCGGTGGGTTTTCTAGTTGAGGGTGTTGGTAGTTGGCGTGTAGCTGACAGTGTTTGACCCGTGGGCCGGAAGCGCTTGGGCCACATCATTCCGGGAAAAGAAACACCACGCCGGGGATAGCTTTTTCGTGGTTCTTCCGTTGCCTCGGATGGTGTCGAAACCCGCCATGGGTGTGTGCGGTACATGCCATCGATGCGTCTTTGCAACCCCACGGAAAGCGGATCAGGTCGCGGAATCAAGACAGAAAAGGGCGACGTTGTACCGTTACGCTGGCGAGTCTCGCTACTAGATGCGTTCTTCCTCATCTCGCGAGTGCGCCTTTTGCACGATTGCACCATTGTACCGTAACGGCGCGGATCTCCGCCATCTCCGCCATAGGACGGAGGAGTGCGGTGCGGTGTAGTACAACGAGTTTAGGGGAAAAAGGGCGCGTGTACTCTGTAGTACGACATAAAAAAAAAAAAAAAAACAGCGGTGTGGCGACATAAAAACTTCGGTGGACAGCCGTACCTCAAAAAGAACCATACGGTGGCCAATACCGCGGCGGACAAAATAGAGAGCCAAAAGGTCACCTCACCTTGTTGGTCAGGAACCTCTTCGAGCCGACCTGCAGCAGCCTCAGCACGCGGTCGAGCGCGCCCATGGCGGCGGGGTTGCCCTTGCCACCGTTCCCTGCTGCCGGTGCGGGCGGAGCCAACGGCACGTCTAGCGGGGAGCTCTTGATGGGCACGGATACGTCGGTGAAGGTCTTCTGGGGCAGGTCGCCGAGGACTTCCTGCGAGAGAAACATGTTGACGGGGAGTGAAAATAAAGAGAAACCGAGGATTGAGGGATGCATGTTTCAATTTCTTGGAGGGGGGCGAGGATGAAGCATGCATATACCTATTTTCAAGTATAAAACATGAAAAACGACGAAAAAAAAAGGGCCGAAAAGGATCGAAAAACCAAGGTGGCTTTGTCACTTGTGGTACATACCAAGTACCACGGCCTGCTCATCGGCAGTGAAGAGGCGACGTGACGTGTACAAAGGGGTGTGTGAGAGAAAAGCCGGCTGTCCCGCAGCGCGCGGCACGAAGACTCTTTATCGATGACGACGACAAAGCACGATCTTCGCCAATACGACGTAAGAAAGAACAAAAGCCTATGGTATTGCTCGTCCGCGATACACACACATCCGCAAAAGTAAAGTTTATTACGAAAAAGGAACAGGAACGGGGCACGCAGACGGTAACAGACCCCGATCCCAACGTAATCGATTCGATACCTTATCCACTATGCGTAACTATCAAGACCTGTGTAGACTGCTGGGACTGCTAACCCCAACCCCACCATAGCCAACTCTATACTTTATCCAGTTTGTTTTCTTACAAAAACCTGCGTAGGCTACTAGGATTGCCAACCCCCAACCTTGTCGATCCAGTACTTTATCTAGCATGTTTGCTTGCCCAGAAAAAACTGCGCAAACTACTGGAACACCCACCTTGAGGGGCAGGTCGTACGGCACGCTGCCGTCGCGGGAGTCCTTGACGGTCACCTTCCCGTCCCCGGATACCTTGCCGAGGAGCGACGCCGGACAGTTCTCCCTCTTGGCCATGGCGAGGAAGGTCTCGGTGCTCTCCGGCTTGATCAGGAGGGCGTTGTTCTCCTGGTACTCGGCCCCCCAGATCTCGAGCACGGACATGGTCTCGTCTCCGACGTGCACCTCGAAAAACGGCAAACGAAAAACAATGAAAAAAAAAATGGACGCAACTGATTGGACGTGTGCGCCTGGGAATGACAGAACTTGTAACATTAAAAAATGGCGTAAAAAAAATCGTCTCCGACGTGTACCACCTCGAAACGGCAAAACAAAACAAAAATCACGTGTTCAAATTCGCAAGAAATAGATGGTATTGTGGAGGCTTGGCTGGCTCTCATCCACCTCATCACCGCGGGCCCTGAGTGACGGCATTGTCGAGTCTCATCTTTCGGACCGTCCTCGACTTTTCCCGCAGTTGTTTGCAGTATAAAACTACGGAGATATGAAAAAGGGAAATGAAAGACTGACCGACGAACCAAACCTCTCGTCCACAAAGTGAACAAGCCAATCCAGATACAAGCATTGCCCACACTATTTCACTTGGTTCTTCCGCGTATGCACACACAGGCCGGACCAAAACTCTGTTCCCTGGCGATGCTGCCACATAACTCATCTGCCGCCACGGGCACTGTCTCACTCCGATGTCTTCTCCAACAGTCAACACCAAAAAGAACGCAGAGCACGGTATGCGAAGGGCGAAACAAGGTACAGGATACCCTGACAGACCGTTCTTCCGCGTGTACATGTACGTGCATACGAGTGAGCCCGTAGACGGTGTGGGAGCAGGCAGAAAGCGGCAAGGGAGAGAGAACAAGCACACACGTGAGCGACACCCGTTCCACACCTTGCGAATGTCGTACGTCGCGCCGGCCGGGTCGACGATCTCCTTGAGCACGTTGCCGTTTCCTCCAGCGCCCTGAAGAGGAACATACCGAATTCGCACGGCAGCAGCGGTAGCAGCAGCAGCAGTGTCAGCGAGTAAAACAAACTATAACGGGAACCCACACAAAAAAAATCTCCCCACTCTCCCCCCCTCCTAGTCGGCTACGTTTCGACGGGAAGGGCGCCGTGCGGACACTACAGGGTACACGGAAAAAACGATCGCAAATCAACAACGGCGCGACCGCCAGCACAACCCCCCGTGACACTTGCAACCACAACCCCCAACACCCCGACACTCACGACCACAACGCTCAGCGCTCATTGACAGCTCACAGCCACAACACCCGACGCACAGCAACACACCTGGTCGTGGATGGAGATGATGGGGTTGTCGTCCCCCAGCTCGACACACGCCCTCATGAGCCTGTTGAGGCGGTTCTCCATCTCTGCGTCGCCCCTCTGCACGGCGTCGAAGTCGAGGGAGGAAGTCTTGGCATCCCCTACCCTGGACGACGCGGCTCCCCCGCCAAGCCCGATGCGGTAGGCTGGTCCTCCCACCTGACACCCATCCCCAAGGGCGCATGGATGCGTGCCATACACAAGGCCATGTTTTCGGACGTGAATTTGTTCCCCCAGTCGCGTGCAAGTGGGGACTCGTTTCACTGCTCGTTTCGATGCGGTATGTGGGCTACCCAAATGATACCCGGCGCGAACTAGGAAAAACACCAACGTCGACAGGATACCACCAAGAATTTCAACCAAACTTCGCGGCGTCTTGAACCAACCCTGCAGGACAACAACAACAACAACAACAACAACAAGAGGTATATGCCTCATACCTTGACGACCCACATGCCGACTCCGGGGTCCCCCTTGTCCGCGTGCACGGCGTCCATCTGACCGATGCCGGCGCTGAACATGATGGGCTTCACGTACCTGTTATCGGTTTCGGAACAGCAAGCACGTCACAATACGGTCACACACACCTTGGTGTTACGAACATTTCACGTGTCTGGCATTGGTTTCGGAACAGCAAGCACGTCACAACATGGTCACACACACCTCGGTGTTACGAGCTGAACATTTCACGTATCTGCCGTGGGTGATGGAACAGCGAGCGCGCCGGAATCCCGCAGGTTGCATGAGATACCGCACCCCTTGGACGCCGATTTGCAAAAGCTCGAATGCTCCACGACGGAGAGGACGCAAAAATCACGTGACACTTTATCGAAAATCTCTCGACGAGATGGTTACAACGCCGCCATTGTCAGCAGCACCGCGGTTGTTTTCGGCGCGGAGTACTCGAGCTTTGAAAAATGATCCTGGGGGTGTGGTATCTTACGTCATGTCACCTGCGGTATGGATCATACAGAACTTAGCGTACAAACTTTCTGTGAGTCCGCACGAGAGCACGGCCACCAAAAACGACGGCTGATTGCAGTTTGGTACATGTACTACCGGGATGTCCTTTCGAGAACTCTTTTTTATTCGTTTTGTGATATTGTCTTCACTTCAAATCAGCGCTCACAGCACTTGTGCCGTGTAGTCCAACCCGTGGTCACACAGAATGGTTCTTGCCCCTGGGGCCCCCTACCCATCCCTCCTGCGGTACTTTGCCTCATTTGACACAAAAAATGACCGCTGATTGTAGCCTGGTGCATCAAGAAACCCTTGGTGTCCTTTTCGAGAACTCCTCGTGGAGCGCCTAAAACAATCTCCGGTAAAAAAAAAAAAACTGGTGTTCCCAAAGGTGTGGAGGGACGAAGCAAATACCAAAACAAATCACAGCCGGCTTCCCTCCCACTCACTGAAAAGACTTCAACACACACCCTTCCACTACAATGGTTTTGTATCCCGAACAGATACTTCGTAAAGACAACAAAAACGGGGAAAATATATCTGTGTAATTTTATATAGATTTTCTACAAATCACAAAAAAAAAAAATCACCGCCGGTGGTGGCGCGAAAGAGCAAACAAAACACTGCGGTTTCTAAATAGAACATCAGCGGAAAGAGAAAGAAACAAAAAAACAAAAAAACGGGCCAGACTCACTCGAAGCGTTCCCCCCCGGGCAGCCTCTGCCCGAAGGACCTTGTGAAGCCGTGCACCACCGGTTCTCCGAACTTGTTGCCGTAGTCGCTCGCGCCGTTGCTCGCCCCGATCTGCGCACCCCCCCGGAAGGCATCAGGGGGTCGTTGGTGGCGAAAGGTAAAGTTAAATGTCCGCCGCGAGACCGAGAGAAGGGGTTTGTTGGAGATATAAGGGGAAGCAGAAGCCACGGGAGAGGGGAGAGACATGATGTTCGGTTAGTTCAAGAGAGCAGAGGGCGGGGGAGGGGGGGCAGAGAAACACAGGGGAGGACGACCAGGGAGGGGAGCAAGAGATATCAGTAACGCCAGGAGTGAGAAAGGACACAATCTCGTGCGCCGACTATCCAGAAATACACACCAACCTACAAACCTACTAAAGTAGTACATGCATCAAACGAGTGAATTGCTTGACCACGGAGTTCTCCATCACCATGCACTTGCCGCCTCAAGCACAGTGAAAAAACAGAAAACGAAAAAAACGGTGAGCGCACAAATCCAAACGTACACACCACCACCTTGAACGAAGAAAAAAACAAAAAAATTGAACGAAAAAAACAAAACGCCAAAGCCGGTTTGAAATTGAAAAGCAACAACGCACGGACATGCCTATTCTAAGCAAAAACCTCGAGAAGGCCAAACAGCACGTCTGCGGTGGATTTGACCGCTCGAAGAAGCACAGGCGCCCACAACCACGCCTTTTGCTAGGAACAACGGAAACTAAGATAAACCTAGCACGCTACTTGACAGATCCGGGACTCCCCAAACGAACGAAACCCACACACTATACCAAAAACATACTCTTAGCCAGATCGCATTGTTACATTTGGCGAAGCACTCATACAAAATATCAACAAGGACATGTTTCACTCGATTGCGCCTCAAAGCTTCATATTTCCAACCAAAAAAAGTGGGATATAACCAGATTTAGGGCTTAAAAAGACCTTTCGAATGACCCACCTCGATGTCAAGCGGGGTGGCGAGGTTGGAAGCATAGGGCCAGTCCTCCTCCCAGGGGAGGGGGTAGCCGGGGATGCGGAGGTTGCCGACGCAGTAGCTGCTGATGCCGGCGATCGGCTTCGCGCCGCGGCCGGTGGCCATCACGTCTCTCAGGCGCCCCCCCGTGCCAGTCCTGCCCTCAACACACACACGAAAGACGTGGGTACCACCAACCACCCAAGCGGCATACACCAGCAGCCACCACGGCAAACCACGAAGAACACACGGATGGGTCCCCAGGTAGAAAACATACACCCCACAACACACACGCAGGGCACAACCACGGGCGAGGTGCGGTCACCAACACGGAAAACACAACACAAGACACAATCAACCACCGACACAACAATGCGGGCAAAGTCAACCGCGAGGGGCAGAGACGATCACGTTCACGCACGCGCACACCAAACACATATAAGCAGAACGAACAGAGGGAAGGGCGCAGGGACGGGCGGGGCGGAAAGGGAAGAGGGGGGGTAGGTCAGCTGTGGGAGCTACGGGAGGAAGGTCGTCAGGTGGGAGGGGGGGGGGGGGGGGACCCAACCTTGCAAAAAAACTCGTTCCTGCAAAAAAAAAGAGAAGATAC